TTTTCTGTTTAAATGTTGTGATGTCAGTTGTTAGGCACGATCATACTAACTGGTACACGTGCTCTGCTGAGAGATTTTTTCCAAAGTAACTTTGCATTTACAGTGGCATTGTGTTGGGTATGTGTTCTTTGTAATTCTTTTAATTGTTTGGTAGACATCCCCATTTTATAGATGAGAAGGTTAAGACTTTGATGTTAAATCACTTTTAACTGTTACAGAACCACTAAGGAGGGAGTTGAATTTAAACCTAGGATTGTCTGATTGCAAATCTCTTGTTCAAATAACTTTAGTACCAAGAGGGAGAGGAGCTCTAACATGCAGTTGGAAGTGCCTTTTGTCCCTGAGACACTCTCCCAACACTCCCTAAAGAGATAGTTCCAGTCTTATCTGAGTTAAATGTAGATGTTTTCCAAGTTAGTAATCACCGAATTTCCACCTCCCAGGTTTTTATAGTTAGGGGAAAATGAACTACACAGATTAAGCAGCTTAACTTGCTGGTTAATGGCAAAACACTCCCAATATAATTGTTTTTACTTTGGATAAGTGATGTATGTGTATGCTTCAAGTTTAAAAAAAAAAAGTCCAACAGTACAAAAGGGTAGGCCTCACTTCTCACCAGACCCACTTTCCAAAGGTAACCAGTGTCATCAGTTTTATTTGTTTTCCACAGATATTTTATGCTCTTGCAAGTGCATGTTAATATACTTGTATAGAGGAAGAGTTTTCTGGGTTTTTTAAAAAAAAATACTTACGTATATCATTGTTTAAGAGAGCATGGAATTCTATTGTATGATTGTATTGATTTGCTGAAGGTCACTTATTAGGGGCTAGGTAGGTAATTTCTAAAGTGTTGCTATTAAAAGTCAGCTGGCAAGGCAGCATAGTGTTGTAGTTAGACATGTGGGCTCTGAAGTTCAGGTTCCACTTGCATTAAATACTAATGACCTTTGCCACGTTCCTTATCCTCTCCTTTTCTGTTTCTTAGTCTGTAAAATGGGCCAGTATTTATAAGATTATAGTGAAAAGGACACAAAATGCTTAGAGCTTAGTACTGTTTTTTTGTTAATCATTGTTATTACATGTACATCCTCAGGTATACCTTTGGTTTGTTACTGGAAGTGCAGTTTCTGGCTGGAAAGTAGGAGTGTTCAAAATTTTCAGATGATCTTGTCAAATTGCCCTCCAAAGAGGTCATACTAATTTATACAACCATTATCCTGCCCTGCTTTCTAACAGAAGAGTGAAATACTGTAATGATTTAACATCATTGTAGAAACGAGCTGTAGTTTTGACTTTTTTTTTAAGAAACAGCTTTTAAAAATGGCCATTTTTGCATTCTTGAATATGTTCTAAAATGTCAGCTTCCCATTCCACATCAGAATTAAATTACTTTGAAGGATCAATTTTTTAAAACTGCTGCTTTAGAAAAAATTGAGAAATCATGAAATCGCTAAGTTATGCTTTAGGACCAAATGCAGGCTTTCTGCTAAGATATTCTGTAAAGGATTAGCAAAATTTAGAATCTTTAAAATTCAAAGAGATTAATCAAAAATTTTTTTAAGATTGGTGAAACATTTGGTATTACTAAGGAAAAATGGTTTAAGAGGCAACGGTGATTACATTTTATTCTCATTTAGATATAAGCCAGTGGTTGATCCACCTCTGTGTATCAGGCTTCCTTTAGTTATTAGGGTGATTTCCTCTAGCTAATTGTTTCCCAGATTAATTTTAGCACCACTCTGCTTTAGTTACTCCCCATCCCATGCCAGAAAGCATCTATTAAGGAATCTCTGCCTCAGCATAGCTGGGATATTTTAGGCATAGTACTCTAGCAGCTGAAGTGCTGGCCATGAGCTACTGACACCTGTTGAGAAGTGCCAGTAGTATCAATTTCTAAATTTCCAGAATTTTTTACGTATATCAATTGTGAGATCATTTGGTGTATTTCGTTTTCTTATTCATTAAACACATATTTAGTAGTTAACATGCAGCCAGGGACTATTCTAGGAGCTAAATATTAAAGAATTTTTTACTTATCTGGAAAATGACTATCTTCTGAAGTGAAACTTGGGGCTTGTTGTATGTGACAGTGACTATATTTCTAAGAGCACACTGCCATATTGGATTTATGCAAAATCCCGTAGATTGTATTTATAATGCTGTAGAGACAGCTTAATTTTTGTGCTAACAAACTTTAAGGCTTGAAGTAGAAGTGCTACAACATAGGAGGCTCTCTTTGATTATGGGAACCATGTTTTTATCTGTAAAATACTACGAAGTGGGATATAAGGTATGCTTGAGGTGTTATTCTTTAATGCTTCTACCTTAGAGTGTTTGATCTGAATTCTTCCTAGTTTAAAATTCCTTAGCTCTTTTCTTAACTCCACATGTGAGAGAAGTTGTTCACAACATTAGGCAGTTGATGAAGCCTGTTTTTTGAGAAAATTTTCCTAGTGTGAATTAATGATCCCCTGGAAGCATCTGGTTCAGAGAATGAAAATTTCAGGACCCTTTTCCATTAAGTGATGGAAAATGGAGACGAGGCAAAACCTAACTGAATTACTCTTGCACCACCACCCTCCCAAACATTTTTGATAGGCATGAGATCTCTTGCCTGGGATGTGTTTAACTAATATATACGTATATTCTGTACCTTGTTGGAAAAAATAGGCAGTTTTTAATTGAAAGTACAATAAGTGAACTTCTTGTTTTAAAATTTATAGTCCCTTTGTAAAAACATGAAAATTCAAGTAAACTTGCTCTGTACTTTTTTAAGCTAATTCCAAAGAAATTTTACATTCCCACTAGCCATGAGAAGCTTCTTTATATCTTCACCAGCATTGGTGTTGCCATTATTTTTTTTTTTAGCTCTTGTAACAGGTGTGCAGCGATATCTCATTGGGTCTTAATTTACATTTTCCTAAAGACTAGTGATGCTGAGCATCTTTCTTGTTCTTTCTTTGCCATCGGTATATTCTCATCTGTGAAATTTCTCTTCGTTTCTTTTGCCCATTTTCTAGTTGGGTTTTTTTTTTTTTAACTCTTTAGTTTTCAGAGTTCTTTATATATTTTAGGTCCGGGTCCTTTTCAGATATGTGGTTTGCAAATATCTTTCACCATTTTCTATCTTTGCATCCTCAGTGGGCTCTTTCATAGAGCAAAAGTTCTTAATTTGATGAAGGCCAATTTACAGGTTCTTTTCCTTTATGGGGCATGTTTTTGGTGTAACATCTGAAAATTCTTACCAAGTTCTAGATACCAAAGGTGTTCCCTGTGGTTTTTTTCTTAAAATTTTATAGTTTTACATTTAAACTTGTGATTTACTTTGAATTAATTTTCACATAATGTGTGAGGTTTGGGTTGAATTTCATTTTTTGGTCTGTACATCATGTTCAGTTACTCAAGCACCATTTGTCAAAAAGAATAAAAGACTGCCTTTCTTTGAATTTGCTTTTAGCAAATTTTTAAAAAATAAGTTGGACTTAATTGTGTGACTATTTCTGGGTTCTGTACTCTGTTCCATTGATCTGTGTGTCTTTCTCTTTACCACACCATGTTGGCTACTGTAAAAAAAAAAGTTTTAGAAAAATCTTGTCAGTAGCTATTTGAAAAGCCTCGCATTTTGACAGGAGCAGTGTTACGCCAGTTTCTTTAACTAAACTGCATATCATGCTATATCCAGTCACCTCAGAACATTTTGTCCCCGCAAAATGAAAACTTGCATTTACCAAAAGTCTGTATACACAAATATTTATAGCAGCTTTATTTGAAATAGTCAAAAACTGGAATCAACCAAATGTCCTTCAGTATGTGAATGGCTAAGCAAGTTGTGATACAGCCATTCCATGGGATGCCACTCAGTGATAAAAAGGAACATACTGTTAACACATGCAGTGCTTTCATGGACTTTTGGCATGTCGTTGAATCTAAGAAGCTATTTGGAAAAGTCACATGCCATACCATTTCATTTATGTAATATTCTCACAATGATAAAATTTGAGTGAAGAACAGTGGTAGTTGCCAGGACTTAGGAACGGTGGGAAGCAAGGGACAGGTGTGACACAAGTTCAGAATAAAAAAGTACTTTTCATGCATTATGAGTGTGCTTGAGTTTGTTTCTGTAAAAGCATGACTTATCTTGTTCTAGTCAAGGACATTTTAGAAAAATAAATTCATTCGGTAAAATAAGGGGTTTTTTTTAGAAAAATCTATGGGAGAGGGAAAATGCACGATATAAGGGAAATGTCTGTTTACACAGTTCATGTCCTCTCCTGGTTGCTTCCTTATTTCCTTAGGTATTTTTTCTTAGGTATTGTTACACATTAGCTTACTGAAAGAAAATAAAAGGTGAATAACATTTTTATTTCTTCTAAGACTATTTCAGTCATAAGATAAATTGTATACTGTATCATTGTCCTAAATTTAATATTTAAAGTATAAGTAGTCAAGTACTTTTCTAAACTGCTTTCCTGTAAAATGGGGCTAACCTACTTACTAATTGTTGCTTGGTGGAATATGAAATGCTTACTGTCATGAGGTAGCAGTTATTGTATACATTAAGCTGAGAATCTGAATTTTTAATGGGGTCCTAAAAATAGAAATTTCTTCATGGAATTAACACTTGATGGAAACTTCAAACAATGTTTTCTGATGACAATTTTTACTTAAAGGGAAAAAACAAACTAGCACTTTTATTTTAATATGTCAGTGGGACATGAAAGTGATCTGACTCTTGTCCCCTTTCCTTTCAGCTCTTAGTATTTTGGGGTCTTTTTCTTACCCTCTCAAAATTAAAGCAATAGGTTTTTTTTTTAATGCATACTCTTCTTCACTGAAGCCTTTTAATATTTCTCATATTTAAAAGAATAGGAACTATAACTCCATTTTTTAATGTAAAAAAATAAAAAGATTGGAAACTTTTATTCTCAGATTTTTTTGTATGTCTTGATAAATAATTCACTTCTTGTGTGGTATTTATATTAACTTTTCTTCCCCTTTAGGTTTCATAGTCCTGTTTCATAGTCAACCAGAACAATGTTCTACGCACATTTTGTTCTCAGTAAAAGAGGGCCTCTGGCCAAAATTTGGCTAGCGGCCCATTGGGATAAGAAGCTAACCAAAGCCCATGTGTTCGAGTGTAATTTAGAGAGCAGTGTGGAGAGTATCATCTCACCTAAGGTATGTTTGATGCCGATATTTTTATTCACTTTGTTGATTGTTCATTGGTGTGTGAAATAGAATTCTATAAAAACGGCTTCCTAGGTTGGCATCTATGTATATTGGGGGACAAGGAAAATCCATGTATTAGCCAGTTTCAATATGATACCCTCTTCTTTTTAAAATATCTGTTAAGTACACAGATATTTTCATTTGCCTGTTTTAATGGCAGATAAGCATGGATGGACAGTACCCATATATTTTATATTTGGCTTTCTAGATGTTTTTATATTAAATATGTGTCTACATGTTCCCGATTTAAGAATGTACAAAATGCTCAAAATAAGGATTCATTAATTAGAAAATGTTGCAGGGGCCAGCTCTAACTACCTTGTCCGCCTAGCAAGTAGTATCTATAACACTTGCTCCACCTCAGCTTCACAGGCCTACTTCCTGTTTCTTGAAGATACCAAGAACTTTTTTTCCCATCGTGGAACTTTTGTACTTGGCTATGCACTTCTCCTAAACATTCATTACAGTGTCCCCCTAGAATGGAAGCCTTGAGAATGTCCTTACCTTATTGGCCTTGTTACTGCTCTGTTCCTAGAGGAGATTTTATCGATACCTTCTAAAGCAACGGTTTTGACCTTTGGATTTCACAAGTGGTATGACTTAAATTAATATGTGTTTTTTTGTTGTTGTTGCTGAGAAAGGATCATTAAAGTACACAGACGCAATTTTTGTTTACAGGTCCTTTCCTAGACTTTATATTTATACATACACATACACACATACATGCTCCAATTTTCCTGTTGTGAAGGGGTTCCAGATCACAGCTGTCTGGACCAGCAATGGGAGATGCTCTTCTTAGAATTGGCAGTCTGGACAATGCTGGCATAATGTGTTGAATAGAGCAGTTCTTTATTGCTGAAAGAGTGAGGGGAATCTCAGGAACAAAGCTGGGACATAGCAGAGACTTGTTCAGAAAAGTTACTTAGGAAAGTAATTGTTTTAGGTAGGCGACATGAAAGTTTGTGTTTGGAATTAGAGTAAATTATAACATTTCTGTGTGTGAAACTTTGGTTTTAGAGTTAGAGCATAGAATTTATTGATGTTAAAGATGTTTCTATTATGTTATTTCTAAGACTATACTAATTTGAAAACTTTACTTAAATAAGAACAAGTGACGTGTTGTTCTACCATCCAGAGAAACATTTAGTGTTTTGATGTGTCTTCTAGACTTTTATATTTGCATGTGTTTTATGCATAATTTGTCTCCTTTTTTATGCATATATACAAAAACAGCATTATATGTTTTGTAACAACTGCATTCAGGAAAAGCTCTGTTTGTAATTCTGCTGTCATTTTTAATGGTTGCATTGTACAGTGTCATAGTCTGTTATCCACAGAATGTAAATTTTTAAAAAAACTGGAAACACACTTGACTGAAATTGAAGTGAGGTCATTTGTGTATATACAAATGTGTACAATTATGGAGGGTGGATGTTGCAGACACTCCTGGAAGCGTTAATATATGGCATGTGTGCTGCATTACCTTTATAATATTCGAAAAGTTCTGAATTCCAAAACACATTTGGCCTCTAGGACTTCAGATAAAGGATTATGGAGGACCTGTAATTTATTGTTTTGATTGTGCATGATTTATTTTACTTGCCTCTTTTGGGGGTGGGGGGAATAATCCATATTTTTTCTCCAAATTTTTTGAATTTTTATCCCCCTAGACCTGTATAATGCAACCACTAAAAATTATAATGCTGAGAACAGAGGTTTTCCTGAAAGTAGGCTCATTCCAAAATAGTATGGTGCAGTTTTCATGTACATAGACACAAAAAGGAAAAATCGTGTACATGCACGTATAAAAGCCTTGAAGGCATACTGAAACATTATTAAGGATTTCTCCAGGTGGTAGGATTACAGGTTGTTTCCATTTCCTCTTTTTAGAAAAACAACCATTTAGTAAACATAAAAGCTTGGGAAATCTTTTGTTCACATCTGCCAGTCTTTCCTTAATATTAGCAGGTAATATACTTATTTTTAAGATTTCTGATACTCATTAACAATTTGCTCTGTGGGGAAATTGTACCAGTTTGCGCTGCTGGTCGAATTGTTTGAGAAGATGATATTTTCTTTATATAGATAAGTAAGTTTACTGAGTTAAATGGAGACTGGAGAAATTGAACTCTTTTCTTGACTTTGATATGTGTGGCTAATCTTTAACATCCATAAGCAAATATTGAGGATGATTTGGCTTTAAAGGATAGCAAATTTTTTCATAGTGTGTGCAGAGTACTTATACCCCATTAGGGAGGGACACTGCAACTTATTTAAAAACCTTTTCTAAAGTGTGTTTATTTGTTGATTGTTTTTTTTATTGTGATAGACTATAAAGATAAAAGATCTCCACAGGGTGAACTGACTTAAAATTTTCTGATGTTTGCTCCTAGTGTGCAGTTCTTGCTACAGGGCAATGTTAGGTTAGTCATTTAGAACAAATGTTAGACACACGGCTCAGTCGCAACCTCACGCCTTACTTAAACCCGCACCCATGCCTCTCCCTGTCCCTCTCCCTCCCTGTCTCTGGTTGGAACAGCCCCTCCAAACCCCTGCAGAGCTTTCCCCAGATGTGTATAGCCTGTGTTCTTTTTCATACCTACACTTGGGTTTTTCCCCTTTTTTCCTCAGGTGAAGGTGCAGTCATTAATTTTAAATTTCCTATCACTACATCATAAAAGGAGATTCTCTTCTTCCATTAGGAAGTGTTTTAATTGGGTGTTACTTTTCATATCAGGGATTTATCATCTGATAAGTCCTAGATTTGATCACAAATTTATTATAATTTTAGATGTCTGAGAATTTATAACACTAAACTTCATGATTTTAAGTTATGTGATGTGGCTATAAATGTAGAACCTGAAAAAAATTATTATTGTATTGTTATTGTGTATTACTATAAATCCAAATCTTAGACTGCTGTAGAGTACACATAAAACTTAAAAATACAATGTTTTATTTAATAAGTAACATATTAGTCATAATTTAAGCTGTAAACAGATATTTACCAACTTTCTTCGCTTCCTGAGAATTTGATGTGTGTGATCTGGAAAACAATCTGGTAAAGTTGAGTTCATGTTTTCTTGCTCTCTCAGAAAAAAATTATTATGGCCAGAGAACTATTGAATCATTCTATTTAGATTGGGTATTGACTTCTCTCATTCTTTTCCCAACTACTGTGTCTCATCTCACACTGGGTCCCACTTAAGCATTAATCAAGATCTCCTTTGATAAAACAGGCTGAAGAGTATATTTTCATATGAAAAAAGATGGTACTATTGTCCTTTATCAGTTAGTGTGCTTTCCAGTCAGGTAATAAAAATTTGATCGGCCATAAAAAAGAATAAAATAATGCCATTTGCAGCAACATGGATGGACCTAGAGATTATCATTCTAAGTGAAGTAAGCCAGAAAGAGAAAAATACCATATGGTATCACTCATATGTGGACTCTTCAAGAAAAGAGAAAAAAGGACACTAATGAACTCATCTACAGAACAGAAACAGACTCCAAGACATAGTACACAATCTTATGATTTCTGGTGGGGTGGGAAGGGATAAATTTGGGAGTTTGAGATTTGTAGATGTTAGCCACTATATATAAAAATAGATTTTAAAAAACAAATTTCTTATTTATAGCACAGAGAACTTTATTCAATATCTTGTAATAACCTTTAATGAAAAAAATATGAAAACGAATATATGTATGTGCATGACTGTGACTTGTGCTGTACAAAGAAATTGACACATTGTAACCAACTATGCTTTAAAAAAAGGTGAAAAGTGACTTAAACAATAAGGTAATTAGCAATCCTCTTTAACTAGAAATTTAGAAATAGGAAGATCTACAGTTTGTTCAGCAGTTCAAAGATGTCATACAAAGACTTACCTGGACTCACCTTTCTTAGTTTGTTGGCTTCTTGTCCTCATGCTTATGGCCTTATAGTTAAAGGGCAACTGCTCCAAGCCCTACCTACTGCAGGAAGGGGAGAAGGAAGAGAGGACTGTTTGTTTTTTTGTTGGGAAAATCTTTCTCAGAAATTCTCTGACCTACTTTACACTCACTTCTCATTGGCTGAACTGGGTTACATTCAAAAACAAGCACTAGCAGAGAATGAGACAATCATCCTTCAAGCCGGGGGGACATTTCATTTACTTCCCAAATAAAATCGGAGTTCAGTTATCTACCAAGGAGCAATGAAATGACTAGATTGGCAACGAAAAGTGCCGCATACTTCTTGCCATGCTAATGACAGCAATCCATGATCACCGTAATACCTGCTTCATCGCTACCTTCATGTCTGTTAATTCATGAATTTGTGCTAGTCTATTCTTTGGGTATACTTAGAAATTTATAGGTAAAGGCTATGAGAAATGAAATATACTTGATTATGAGGTAGCTTCAAATAAATGGTTAAAAGTTATGGAGAGATACAAACTGCCTATAAATTGCACAGCGTATGAGCTTTAAAGTATGACTGCCTCTAAAACCAGAAAATTGACTTTATAAATTAATGTTAATTCACAGGTGAAGATGGCACTCCGAACATCAGGACATCTCTTACTGGGAGTAGTACGAATCTATCACAGAAAAGCCAAGTATCTCCTGGCAGATTGTAATGAAGCCTTCATTAAGATAAAGATGGCTTTTCGGCCAGGTATTGTTGACCTTTTTTAACCTGTGGAGTTTCTTATGTTTGATGTGAAAAACTGCTTAACCACTACTCTAAGTGAGCCTGGTTTGTTTTGTTTTAATTGCAATACGGAGAACCTTTCAAAAACAGGGCAAAGCTTGGAGGGGTTCAAGGAAGAAAACTCGTTTTATTTTTGTTCTACATAAGGAATTATGACAGTCACCCCTGTTCGTCCTTTACAGCTGCCTTTTTCTTTTAACCTTTTTCAGCAGTCATCAGAGGTTAAAAGTTTTGAAAACTAATTGTTATATGTTTTTTGAAAAATGGAGCTCAGAAAAGGAAATCTTAGAATTTTAAATTTTTTCTGAATAATTTTAATGTGTTCTTAAAATCAAATTCAATTTTAGCTTAAATTGTTAAGACTTTTTAAATGTTCTCTGTAGTTTTTGGTGGTGGTTTTGTTTTAGGTGATGTTTGATTCTGAAACCATACTGTAGCAACTGAACTTCCATCTGCATAGATAATTACTATTGTATAATATTTTCAAGTGTTGATGAAATTTTATTCTGATTAAAATAACCTAAATGTGTAGGAGGGCCACCTTATAATTTCTACTTGTGCTATATTCTTACGCTTCAGTTTATTTAATATATGCACAGTGAAATCTTTGAGATCTAAGGTTTTATTAAACTGAAATGTTTAGGCAGAGGCTGTGATACTTGAATGATTTCCAGTATGTGGCTACTAACTGTATTTTGCTTAAATAACATGTTTTGTTTCTTTTTATCTTTATAATAAAAATTCATTGCTTTAAGACCTCTTGAAAAATACAGGGGAAAATGTAAAGAAAATTAAAATCATTAAACCCTACTTTTCCTAAAATAACCAACTCCTCATTATTTGGGATACTCCTTTGCGTTCCTTCCTTTCTCTCATAAATTTCATGCTTATTTAGAGAACTTACTAATATTTTTTTGTTGATATGTCCCTTTAAAGACTTTTCAGCTTAATAAACAGCGCTTTGACTTTTTTCTTTAATGCAAGTAGTATGGCTTATGATAATAGAAAAACGAAAGTACTTGTGCTTCAGTGGTACTTTGCATATATTATCAACCTTTCTAGAATATAATCTTAGGAAATTATACTGACTTTTTACCATCTTTGATCCCTTGATAATCTTTGGTTTAACCAGGTCTTCAAGCTTACCATTTCTTTTCCAGGTGTTGTTGACCTACCTGAGGAAAATCGAGAAGCTGCTTACAATGCTATTACTTTACCTGAAGAATTTCATGATTTTGATCAGCCACTGCCTGACTTAGAGTATGTCTGTTTCTTTCTCTCCTCCCTTTTTTAATTGTTGACATAGTGTACAATAAAACATTATTAGCTTACAAATACATAGTTTTCTTGGGATGTTTTGACATCCGAAAAAAGAGTTGACATGTAGCTAAAATGCATTTGCTTCATTTAGGATAACATATAAATATGAAACATAAACCCAAAGTGTTCGTCCTATAAGAAAATCATGTAGAAGTATCGGCTTTAATACAGCTAAGAGAATTCTGATTAGCTTAGGCCAAAGCTGATTTTTTTTCCCCACTAAATACATGCTACGTTCTACATGATCCCAGGTTGGTCGAGTTATTAGATGCAGAACTGCA